ACGCCCACGCCTCTACGTCCACCGTGGCGGCCGACCTCACAGAAGCCTACCTCTCGTCACTCAGCGGACTTAGCTTCCCCAAGTATGTCTTCACGTCGGAGTGACAGCAGTGACAGCAGATCTTATCGACAGGGTCCACCTGGCGTGTCCACCTTATTTCAGGATGACCACGCTCAGGCTACTGCGATCCCTAATCCAGGCACAGGAGGCGCTCAGCAGCCTGGATATCCAGGACGCCTACCTACATGTCCCTATACATCCCGAAGACTGGAAATTCCTCTGCTTCTTCCTCATGGGAGTCAATTATCAATGGGCGGTCCTCCCATTTGGAATTTCTTCAGCCCCGTGGCTATTCACACGGCTTACCAAGCTGATAGCCTCGTACCTCCATCACTGGGACATCCAGTTCGAGGCGTACATAGACGACTGCCTACTGGACCATCGGGACACTGTCACTCTACTCCGCCACAGGGACTTCATCCTCTGGCTGGGGTGGAAGATCAACCCCAGAAAGTCAGAGTTGACACCCTCCAAGCTCCTTCAGTTCATCGGGGGCCTCTTCCAGACGGATCTCGATCTCATCTCTGTACCCAAAGAATGGTGGGAGCGCATGCAGGCGCACCAGCTCTCCACCTACCACGCACTCTGGGCTAATGGCAAGTCCTCCTGGGCCTCCTAACCTCAGCGCAGAGGAAGGCTCCAACTGCACCCAGTTCAGATGTTCCTGGCGCCCTACATCAGGCGCCAGGACCCCTCCGTATCCATCGTCCTCCAGGATCATCTCAAGCAGCCGGTGGTGGACGATGGAATCGAATGTCTTAGGCGGCGTCTCCTTGACAGGGCTTACAACCTCTCTGCACCTATTCGTAGACGCGTCCCTACAGGGATGGGGCACACACCTGGAGGGACAGCGTCTATCAGCGTCTATGGCACATCAACAACCTCAAACTGCAGGCGCTTATCTTGACCACCGCTCACTGCAACCAGGCCCTCAGACACGCCTGGCTCTCCATCTCGATGGACAACATCACCGTCGTATGGTGCCTTCTGAACCAAGGAACAACTCATTCAACTTCGCTCCTTCAACAGACGTTCCGATTGTTTCACCTGGTGGATCATCTGGGGATTCAGTTCCAGGTCCAACACATCCCGGGCTGCCAAAACAGCCTAGCTGATGCTCTATCTCGGCCAGGCAGAGTGGCTGCCACTGAGTGGAAACTTCACCCAGACGCCTTCGCTCTTGTTTGTCGAGACCACGGTCTCCCTAACATAGACCTATTCGCCACCAGCCAGAACTACCAGATCCCGACCTACATATCTCCAGTCCTGGATCCACTGGCTTGGGCCTGGGAAGGACTAAAAGCGTACGCTTTTCGCCACCTGTACTCTTTCCCAAAGTCGTCCAGAAGATCAGATCGACACGGAACCTCGATCTGACTTTGGTTGCCCGCTGGTGGCCAGCGAGGGCTTGGTTTGTCGACCTCAGAGAGCTGTCCAACGCCAACCAACTGCCACTCCCAGATTGGCAGAATCTGCTGATCCACCCTCACAGCAGACAGCCATACCCAGGACCAGACAGGTTATGTCTTCACGTCTGGTCCATTTACAGAGAGCACTGAACGCCAAAGGCTACTCCGCCAGAGCAGCTAGGGCCATCACGATGGCACATCGCCCAACCACCAGGAGCCTCTATGATGACAAGTGGCAATCCTTCAAGGGCTTTTTGCAGGGGCAAGCAACAAGACCCCACATCTGTATCGCCTCAATTCCTGGCCAAGTTCATGCTCCATCTATGTCACAAGCGTAAGCTCAAGGGCAGTACCATCATGACCTACCTTGTGGCGCTCAACTCCGTCCTGGCAGTTCCAAAAGATTGACGCATGACGAAAATCCCAAAACTCCAGGCACTGCTCCGCTCATTCAGGCTGGAAGACCAAAAGGCGAAGTTCTGTCCCCCAGCTTGGGACTTTCAAGCCACTCGAAACGTCCTCATTCTACAATCTGACGAATAAGACGGTCTTCCTACTGGTGCTCGCCACATCAGCCCGTGTCAGTGAGCTACATGCCCTGGACGTCACACGGGTCCGCTTTGAGCCGGGAGCACACGGAGCCGTGCATCTGGGCCTGTGCTAGGACTTCATTGCAAAAAATTGGCTCCCAGGCCAGCCCGATAGATTGTTCCTCATCCCCCCTTTCATCGATTGTGGGCGCGGAAGATGAACTAGGGACCCATGCTACATCTGTAGACAACGACGACACCTCTTCATACTGGTATCTGCGACCTCGCGAGCGGAAGTCAGCTGCAACACTATCACCCTCTGGCTACGAGCCATCATCCTCCAGGCCTACGAGGCTGTGGGATCCAACAACCTGCATGAGATCCGGGTGGTCACCTCCACCATGGCGCTACACAGCAACTGCTCTCTACACGCCATCATGGAGGGATGTTTCTGGCGATCCAACACGGTCTTCGCCAGTCTCTACCTGCAAGACGTCGCATTGGAGGATGTGCAAGGCACGCACAGCTTTGGTCCGTTAGTAGTGGCCCAGCAGGTCACCACTACTACACGTCATTGACCACGCCTCCAAGTCCAGAGCCGGCTTCTCGACCATCCCTGGCGTGAGCCCTGGACTAGAAGGCTCATGCCTCATTTGCATACGGCTCGGTGCTCCAGTCTTGACCTAACCGAGCCGTTTTGTCAGGCTGCTCAGTACAAGGACACAACGCATACCTGACTCTTCCCTTCCATGTAATGGTCATCCAGGCCGACCATGCAGCTGAAGACGGGGTTTCCCATGCATGGAGTGGTCACCTGATGCCGACCACACAGCCGAGGACGGGCTCAGGGAATGGGAGGTTCCCATACATGGAGTGGTCACCCGAAGCTGACCATACAGTCAAGTATTGGCTAGGGAACAGTCTCTGGAAATAAAGATGAAAGTCCACATCTGAAGGTATTCCCTCCTTCGGTTCCGTCCGATAAAGATGCATTAAGGATAACATGCAACTATGGAGACCTCGCTTGTAAAAGCCCTCATTTTGCGTCTCAAAACAGGACTTGACTTCAGAAATCAGTGTTTCATCATCTGTGAAATGTTTTCCCTTCTAAAAGGACTTCATGGTTGGAAAGAGGTAGAAGTCAGATGGTGCAAGGTCAGGAGAGTAAAGAGGATGTGGAAGGATTTCATAGCCACAGAACCGCGCTTCTGTCTGGGCATATGAGAGTTGTGTACTGGAGCATTGTCTTGCAGGAGACGGACACCCTTGGTCAGCATGCCACGCCTCTTAAGCTTGATAGCGTCCCGCAATTTCCGCAGCAGTGAAGCATAATAAGCTCCTGTAATTGTGGTACCCTTTGCCAAGAAATCCATCATCACTAGTCCGTGCTGGTCCCAAAACACCGTGAGCATGACCTTGCCTGCAGAGGGTTGGACACGTGCCTTCTTTGGGGGTGGTGACTCCACATGCTTCCATTGCATCAGCTGAACTTTAGTCTCAGGATCATAGTGATGGACCCATGTTTCATCCTGTGTGATAAGTCTGTCAAAAAAGTTTGCCTGTTTTTTTTGGCACATGTCCAAAAGATTCTTTGAGCAATTGACTCGTTCCTGCTTTTGGAAATGTGTGAGCAACCTGGGACTCCCATCGTGCAGACACCTTATGCATGTTCAAATTGTCATGGATGATTTTTTCCACAGACCCTACACTGATCTTGACATCTTGTGCTAACTGGCGAACAGTTATACGTCAGTCTGCCAAAATGGCGGTCTCCACTTGATGGATAGTGTCCTCATCAATGGCTGAATGGGGGCGACTAGGAATGGCAGCTGTTTCCACAGACGTCCGACCACACTTGAACTGGCGATGCCAGTGCTTAACAACGTCATATGATGGGGCATCTTCCCCATAAGTTGCTTTCATTTCATCGAAAGTTTCTTTTGGTGTGCGACCTTACAAATATAAAAACCTAATCACTGCTCGGTATTCTACTGGCTCCATTGTCACACCCTACTCGATCATAACACCTGTAAAAGTGGTAAGATTAATAGTTCGGTGCTGCAAATTCAGACATAACCCATAGATACATGTATCAATACACATGTGAAATTTCAACCAAATATGAAAACCCAAAGTGGTTTAGGGGAAATCTTTAATGAACACCTCCTGCATTACTGCGTCTAAAGGGACCCACGCATCGCAGATCTACCTCCCCCCGATGCCTTCCGATGTTTGGGACTCCAGAGTAATGTGAGGATCCGTGACGTCACTTCCTTTGGTCACGTGGGAGCTGCGTGATGGGTTGGCCTCTCAGCTAGTTGGAGCAACTTCTTCAAGCAAAGACCCTCACACAGCTTTTTTCTCTGTCAAGAACAAGCAGTAACATGCATTAAGGTGTAATGCAGGATAAGGATACAAATGTTAAAAATATCTCGGATTTACTAGATTTCTACTGTAAATTCTGTGGTAAAACAACTAACTCGCCCTCAAAAATATCTATGAACTCATTTTTCAAAAACTCAAAATGAAATGCCACAAACTGTCATTATAAACCGTTATCATTGGAAAAGACATACAATATGCATAGTGTCCCTGATATCTATTTCTTGTTAGGTGTAAGGATGGTTTGTGTTGTCATTATACCACAGGAACATTTAAACGTGACAATTATTCATTTCAAATTGTATTGCAGGATTCATAGTTTGTATTATTTAATCACTTCTTAACTCTTTGGGCAGTATTTGAGCAAAATTTGATTGAAAATCTTGAAAATAGTTAAAATTAGTGTATTGATTGATTAAGAAAAGTAAAATTCCATGATTTTTCTGTAATTCTGCAGTGAGTTACATTTTCTGCAAATCTTTCCTTGATCTTGGAATCGCAGAGTTTGTTTGGGACTAATTAACCCTTACACAGCTGATCTAGTTTCACTTTGACTCTTCCAGTTCAAGTTTCCATTAACCCTTACACAGCTGATCCAGTTCAACTTTGACTCTTTCAGTGCTCAGCATCGCGCCTGTCGTCTGCTTCCAATGTTGGCTGAACTATGGACTAGCTTGTGGTGTCACTTGTATTTTCTGGCCAGACCCATGATCAAGTGGATCCTGCGGAAAGTGACAGGGAAATGTGAACTGTTAAGAATAACATATGGCGAGAGCGCGGGAGCAGGGAGGACCAAAAGAATAGGTGATGGACGGACGCTTACCTTTGTGATTAGAACATACAGAAAACAGATGATGGACGGACACTTACCTTTGTGATTAGAACATACAGAAAACAGGTGATGGACGGACGCTTACCTTTATGATTAGAACATACAGAAAACAGGTGATGGACGGACACTTACCTTTGTGATTAGAACATAGAGAAAACAGGTGATGGACGGACACTTACCTTTGTGATTAGAACATAGAGAAAACAGGTGATAGACGTACGCTTACCTCTATGATTAGAACATAGAGAAAACAGGTGATGGACGGACCCTTGCCTTTGTGATTAGAAGATACAGAAAACAGGTGATAGACGTACGCTTACCTTTATGATTAGAACATACAGAAAACAGGTGATGGACGGACGCTTACCTTTGTGATTAGAACATACAGAAAACAGGTGATGGACGGACGCTTGCCTTTGTGATTAGAACATACAGAAAACAGGTGATGGACGGACGCTTGCCTTTGTGATTAGAACATACAGAAAACAGGTGATGGAAGGACGCTTACCTTTGTGATTAGAACATACAGAAAACAGGTGATGGAAGGACGCTTGCCTTGTGATTAGAACATACAGAAAACAGGTGATGGAAGGACGCTTACCTTTATGATTAGAACATACAGAAAACAGGTGATGGACGGACACTTACCTTTGTGATTAGAACATACAGAAAACAGGTGATGGAAGGACGCTTACCCTTATGATTAGAACATACAGAAAACAGGTGATGGACGGACGTTTACCTTTGTGATTAGAACATACAGAAAACAGGTGATGGACAGACACTTACCTTTGTGATTAGAACATACAGAAAACAGGTGATGGACGGACGCTTGCCTTTGTGATTAGAACATACAGAAAACAGGTGATGGACGGACGCTTGCCTTTGTGATTAGAACATACAGAAAACAGGTGATAGACGTACGCTTGCCTTTGTGATTAGAACATACAGAAAACAGGTGATGGAAGGACGCTTACCTTTATGATTAGAACATACAGAAAGGCACATGCAGAAACCCTGAATCAATTATTATAGAATTGAATGTTGTCATTTGATGGATATGTTTAATGACATATAGTCATTATGTGAGAAAACCTTTATTTTCTGATCTGTGTTCTAATGATGCCTCCATTCTATGACATACTGTTTATGGCACACCGTGGCTGTCTGACAGTGATTTTATTTGTTACAGAAAAGTCACTCAAGCAATCCCATCAGCCAGCACTGAAACAAATCCTGAGTGATGGCAGCCTGGACATCACTGAAGCCGTGAAGGAGGTGCTTAGACTGAAGTCCATTGTACCCGAGGTACATCCCAAGTAAGTCTGATATACCTTTGGTACACCCAGATTAAATGTATGGACTGTGGGCTGTGTGTGTCTTCAGGTACAGTAGTGATGTATTGACAATGGGCTGTGTGTGTCTTCATGTACAGTAGTGAAGTATTGACAATGGGCTGTGTGTGTCTTTAGGTACAGTAGTGAAGTATTGACAATGGGCTGTGTGTGTCTTCAGGTACAGTAGTGAAGTATTGACAATGGGCTGTGTGTGTCTTCAGGTACATTAGTGAAGTATGGACAATGGGCTGTGTGTGTCTTCAGGTACATTAGTGAAGTATGGACAATGGGCTGTGCGGTCTTCAGGTACAGTAGTGAAGTATGGACAATGGGCTGTGTGTGTCTTCAGGTACAGTAGTGAAGTATTGACAATGGGCTGTGTGTGTCTTCATGTACAGTAGTGAAGTATTGACAATGGGCTGTGTGTGTCTTCAGGTACAGTAGTGAAGTATGGACAATGGGCTGTGTGTGTCTTCATGTACAGTAGTGAAGTATTGACAATGGGCTGTGTGTGTCTTCATGTACAGTAGTGAAGTATTGACAATGGGCTGTGTGTGTCTTCAGGTACAGTAGTGAAGTATGGACAATGGGCTGTGTGTGTCTTCAGGTACAGTAGTGAAGTATTGACAATGGGCTGTGTGTGTCTTCAGGTACAGTAGTGAAGTATGGACAATGGGCTGTGTGTGTCTTCAGGTACAGTAGTGAAGTATTGACAATGGGCTGTGTGTGTCTTCAGGTACAGTAGTGAAGTATGGACAATGGGCTGTGTGTGTCTTCAGGTACAGTAGTGAAGTATTGACAATGGGCTGTGTGTGTCTTCAGGTACAGTAGTGAAGTATTGACAATGGGCTGTGTGTGTCTTCAGGTACAGTAGTGAAGTATTGACAATGGGATGTCTTCAGGTACAGTAGTGATGTATTGACAATGGGCTGTCTTCATGTACACTAGTGAAGTATTGACAATGAGCTGTGTGTGTCTTCATGTACAGTAGTGAAATATTGACAATGGGCTGTGTGTGTCTTCAGGTACAGTAGTGAAGTATTGACAATGGGCTGTGTGTGTCTTCAGGTACAGTAGTGAAGTATTGACAATGAGCTGTGTGTGTCTTCAGGTACAGTATTGAAGTATGGACAATGGGCTGTGTGTGTCTTCAGGTACACTAGTGAAGTATTGACAATGGGCTGTGTGTGTCTTCAGGTACAGAAGTGAAGTATGGACAATGGGCTGTGTGTGTCTTCAGGTACAGTAGTGAAGTATTGACAATGGGCTGTGTGTGTCTTCAGGTACAGTAGTGAAGTATGGACAATGGGCTGTGTGTGTCTTCAGGTACAGTAGTGAAGTATGGACAATGGGCTGTGTGTGTCTTCAGGTACAGTAGTGAAGTATTGACAATGGGCTGTGTGTGTCTTCAGGTACAGTAGTGAAGTATTGACAATGGGATGTCTTCAGGTACAGTAGTGATGTATTGACAATGGGCTGTCTTCATGTACACTAGTGAAGTATTGACAATGAGCTGTGTGTGTCTTCATGTACAGTAGTGAAATATTGACAATGGGCTGTGTGTGTCTTCAGGTACAGTAGTGAAGTATGGACAATGGGCTGTGTGTGTCTTCAGGTACAGTAGTGAAGTATTGACAATGAGCTGTGTGTGTCTTCAGGTACAGTATTGAAGTATGGACAATGGGCTGTGTGTGTCTTCAGGTACACAAGTGAAGTATTGACAATGGGCTGTGTGTGTCTTCAGGTACAGTAGTGAAGTATGGACAATGGGCTGTGTGTGTCTTCAGGTACACAAGTGAAGTATTGACAATGGGCTGTGTGTGTCTTCAGGTACAGTAGTGAAGTATTGACAATGGGCTGTGTGTGTCTTCAGGTACAGTATTGAAGTATGGACAATGGGCTGTGTGTGTCTTCAGGTACAGTAGTGAAGTATGGACAATGGGCTGTGTGTGTCTTCAGGTACAGTAGTGAAGTATTGACAATGAGCTGTGTGTGTCTTCAGGTACAGTAGTGAAGTATTGACAATGGGCTGTGTGTGTCTTCATGTACAGTAGTGAAGTATTGACAATGGGCTGTGTGTGTCTTCAGGTACAGTAGTGAAGTATGGACAATGGGCTGTGTGTGTCTTCAGGTACAGTAGTGAAGTATTGACAATGGGCTGTGTGTGTCTTCAGGTACACAAGTGAAGTATTGACAATGGGCTGTGTGTGTCTTCAGGTACAGTAGTGAAGTATGGAAAATGGGCTGTGTGTGTCTTCAGGTACAGTAGTGAAGTATTGACAATGAGCTGTGTGTGTCTTCAGGTACAGTAGTGAAGTATTGACAATGGGCTGTGCGGTCTTCAGGTACAGTAGTGAAGTATTGACAATGGGCTGTGTGTGTCTTCAGGTACAGTAGTGAAGTATTGACAATGGGCTGTGTGTGTCTTCAGGTACAGTAGTGAAGTATTGACAATGAGCTGTGTGTGTCTTCAGGTACAGTAGTGAAGTATTGACAATGGGCTGTGTGTGTCTTCAGGTACAGTAGTGAAGTATTGACAATGGGCTGTGTGTGTCTTCAGGTACAGTAGTGAAGTATGGACAATGGGCTGTGTGTGTCTTCATGTACAGTAGTGAAGTATTGACAATGGGCTGTGTGTGTCTTCAGGTACAGCAGTGAAGTATTGACAATGGGCTGTGTGTGTCTTCAGGTACAGTAGTGAAGTATTGACAATGAGCTGTCTTCATGTACAGTAGTGAAGTATTGACAATGGGCTGTGTGTGTCTTCAGGTACAGTAGTGAAGTATGGACAATGGGCTGTGTGTGTCTTCAGGTACAGTAGTGAAGTATTGACAATGGGCTGTGTGTGTCTTCAGGTACAGTAGTGAAGTATGGACAATGGGCTGTGTGTGTCTTCAGGTACAGTAGTGAAGTATGGACAATGAGCTGTCTTCATGTACAGTAGTGAAGTATTGACAATGGGCTGTGTGTGTCTTCAGGTACAGTAGTGAAGTATGGACAATGGGCTGTGTGTGTCTTCAGGTACAGTAGTGAAGTATTGACAATGGGCTGTGTGTGTCTTCAGGTACACAAGTGAAGTATTGACAATGGGCTGTGTGTGTCTTCAGGTACAGTAGTGAAGTATGGAAAATGGGCTGTGTGTGTCTTCAGGTACAGTAGTGAAGTATTGACAATGAGCTGTGTGTGTCTTCAGGTACAGTAGTGAAGTATTGACAATGGGCTGTGCGGTCTTCAGGTACAGTAGTGAAGTATTGACAATGGGCTGTGTGTGTCTTCATGTACAGTAGTGAAGTATTGACAATGGGCTGTGTGTGTCTTCAGGTACAGTAGTGAAGTATTGACAATGAGCTGTGTGTGTCTTCAGGTACAGTAGTGAAGTATTGACAATGGGCTGTGTGTGTCTTCAGGTACAGTAGTGAAGTATTGACAATGGGCTGTGTGTGTCTTCAGGTACAGTAGTGAAGTATGGACAATGGGCTGTGTGTGTCTTCATGTACAGTAGTGAAGTATTGACAATGGGCTGTGTGTGTCTTCAGGTACAGTAGTGAAGTATTGACAATGGGCTGTGTGTGTCTTCAGGTACAGTAGTGAAGTATTGACAATGAGCTGTCTTCATGTACAGTAGTGAAGTATTGACAATGGGCTGTGTGTGTCTTCAGGTACAGTAGTGAAGTATGGACAATGGGCTGTGTGTGTCTTCAGGTACAGTAGTGAAGTATGGACAATGAGCTGTGTGTGTCTTCAGGTACAGTAGTGAAGTATTGACAATGGGCTGTGTGTGTCTTCATGTACAGTAGTGAAGTATTGACAATGGGCTGTGTGTGTCTTCAGGTACAGTAGTGAAGTATTGACAATGGGCTGTGTGTGTCTTCAGGTACAGTAGTGAAGTATTGACAATGAGCTGTCTTCATGTACAGTAGTGAAGTATTGACAATGGGCTGTGTGTGTCTTCAGGTACAGTAGTGAAGTATAGACAATGGGCTGTGTGTGTCTTCAGGTACAGTAGTGAAGTATGGACAATGAGCTGTGTGTGTCTTCAGGTACAGTAGTGAAGTATTGACAATGAGCTGTCTTCATGTACACTAGTGAAGTATTGACAATGGGCTGTGTGTGTCTTCAGGTACAGTAGTGAAGTATTGACAATGGGCTGTGTGTGTCTTCAGGTACAGTAGTGAAGTATGGACAATGGGCTGTGTGTGTCTTCAGGTACAGTAGTGAAGTATTGACAATGGGCTGTGTGTGTCTTCAGGTACAGTAGTGAAGTATTGACAATGGGCTGTGTGTGTCTTCAGGTACAGTAGTGAAGTATGGACAATGGGCTGTGTGTGTCTTCAGGTACAGTAGTGAAGTATTGACAATGGGCTGTGTGTGTCTTCAGGTACAGTAGTGAAGTATTGACAATGGGCTGTGTGTGTCTTCAGGTACAGTAGTGAAGTATTGACAATGAGCTGTGTGTGTCTTCAGGTACACAAGTGAAGTATTGACAATGGGCTGTGTGTGTCTTCAGGTACAGTAGTGAAGTATTGACAATGGGCTGTGTGTGTCTTCAGGTACACAAGTGAAGTATTGACAATGGGCTGTGTGTGTCTTCAGGTACAGTAGTGAAGTATTGACAATGGGCTGTGTGTGTCTTCAGGTACAGTAGTGAAGTATTGACAATGGGCTGTGTGTGTCTTCAGGTACAGTATTGAAGTATGGAGAATGGGCTGTGTGTGTCTTCAGTAACAGTAGTGAAGTATGGACAATGGGCTGTGTGTGTCTTCAGGTACAGTAGTGAAGTATTGACAATGGGCTGTGTGTGTCTTCAGGTACAGTAGTGAAGTATTGACAATGGGCTGTGTGTGTCTTCAGGTACAGTAGTGAAGTATTGACAATGAGCTGTGTGTGTCTTCAGGTACACAAGTGAAGTATTGACAATGGGCTGTGTGTGTCTTCATGTACAGTAGTGAAGTATTGACAATGGGCTGTGTGTGTCTTCAGGTACAGTAGTGAAGTATTGACAATGGGATGTCTTCAGGTACAGTAGTGATGTATTGACAATGGGCTGTCTTCATGTACACTAGTGAAGTATTGACAATGGGCTGAGTGTGTCTTCAGGTATAGAAGTGAAGTATTGACAATGGGCTGTCGTCATGTACAGTGTTGAAGTTCCTGAGTGAGCACCATGGATTGAGACCAGACATTTAGATTGCCTCTCAAGACCAGCTTCTGTACCTAGGGTTAAGTTTTAATTCTGTCTGACCATCACAAGAGGAGACTGGATAAGCAATGGGGAGGGCCACCATGTTTGTTTGTTTGTTTGTTGTTTAACGCCGCACTCAGCTATATTCCAGCTATATGACGGCGGTCTGTAAATAATTGAGTCTGGACCAGACAATCCAGTGATTGACATCATGAGCATCGATCCACGCAATTGGGATACGATGATATGCATCAACCAAGTCAGCGAGCATGACCACCCGATCCCGTTAGTCTTACACACATTTTTGTTTAAATGTGTATTGTTTATTAAAGGACTGCCACAGAAATGGGACAAAAAGTGTAGATAAAGCTCAAAGAGTTATCCCCCTTGAAGCTGTCAGATGATTTTACTGGTCATCGTACAACAGACACAAGGAGAACATGTAACCCCTAACCCTAACCCTAACCCCTAGCAAGTTGCATAGTGTGTCTATGTACAGCTTGTCTGTGTGTGTTTCAGCTTCCAGCGATGTTTCAGCGTGTGTGTGTGTCAGATCTGTGGCTACAGGAGGCTGCTGCAGCAGGTCGAGCATCACAGGAAGACCAAGTACAGCACCACAGACAAACAGCACGAAGACAAACTCATGCTGGTAACTGACTCACTGATTGTGTGTGTGTGCAATTACCTGACCAGATTGTAACCATGTGATAAATGATGATCTTTATCAATAGCAAAACAGATATTTTAGGTAAAGGACACGTTGTAATTTTTGCAACATGCAACTATCTTTGTTCAGTAATCATCACATTATTTAAGTCTATAGCAACCTAAGTTGGTCATTAGAGGTGACTTTGTTGACTGTGTTGTCAGGCTTGGTGACTGTGTGGTCAGGCTTGGTGACTGTGTGGTCAGGCTTGGTGACTTGTGTGGTCAGGCTTGGTGACTGTGTGGTCAGGCTTGGTGACTGTGTGGTCAGGCTTGGTAACTGTGTGGTCAGGCTGGGTGACTTGTGTGGTCAGGCTTGGTGACTGTGTGGTCAGGCTTGGTGACTTGTGTGGTCAGGCTTGGTGACTGTGTGGTCAGGCTTGGTGACTGTGTGGTCAGGCTTGGTGACTTGTGTGGTCAGGCTTGGTGACTGTGTGGTCAGGCTTGGTGACTTGTGTGGTCAGGCTTGGTGACTTGTGTGGTCAGGCTTGGTGACTGTGTGGTCAGGCTTGGTGACTGTGTGGTCAGGCTTGGTGACTGTGTGGTCAGGCTTGGTGACTGTGTGGTCAGGCTTGGTGACTGTGTGGTCAGGCTTGGTGACTTGTGTGGTCAGGCTTGGTGACTTGTGTGGTCAGGCTTGGTGACTGTGTGGTCAGGCTTGGTGACTGTGTGGTCAGGCTTGGTGACTTGTGTGGTCAGGCTTGGTGACTGTGTGGTCAGGCTTGGTGACTTGTGTGGTCAGGCTTGGTGACTTGTGTGGTCAGGCTTGGTGACTGTGTGGTCAGGCTTGGTGACTTGTGTGGTCAGGCTTGGTGACTGTGTGGTCAGGCTTGATGACTTGTGTGGTCAGGCTTGGTGACTGTGTGGTCAGGCTTGGTGACTGTGTGGTCAGGCTTGGTGACTTGTGTAGTCAGGCTTGGTGACTGTGTGGTCAGGCTTGGTGACTGTGTGGTCAGGCTTGGTGGTTTGTGCAGTCAGGCTTGGTGAGGTCAGGCTTGGTGACTGTGTGGTCAGGCTTGGTGAGGTCAGGCTTGGTGACTGTGTGGTCAGGCTTGGTGAGGTCAGGCTTGGTGACTTGTGTGGTCAGGCTTGGTGAGGTCAGGCTTGGTGACTGTGTGGTCAGGCTTGGTGACTGTGTGGTCAGGCTTGGTGACTGTGTGGTCAGACTTGGTGACTGTGTGGTCAGGCTTGGTGACTGTGTGGTCAGGCTTGATGACTGTGTGGTCAGGCTTGGTGACTGTGTGGTCAGGCTTGGTGACTGTGTGGTCAGGCTTGGTGACTGTGTGGTCAGGCTTGGTGACTGTGTGGTCAGGCTTGGTGACTTGTGTGGTCAGGCTTGGTGACTGTGTGGTCAGGCTTGGTGACTGTGTGGTCAGGCTTGGTGACTGTGTGGTCAGGCTTGGTGACTTGTGTGGTCAGGCTTGGTGAGGTCAGGCTTGGTGACTGTGTGGTCAGGCTTGGTGACTGTGTGGTCAGGCTTGGTGACTGTGTGGTCAGACTTGGTGACTGTGTCGTCAGGCTTGGTGACTGTGTGGTCAGGCTTGATGACTGTGTGGTCAGGCTTGGTGACTGTGTGGTCAGGCTTGGTGACTGTGTGGTCAGGCTTGATGACTGTGTGGTCAGGCTGGGTGACTGTGAGGTCAGGTTTGGTGATTTGGTGAATGTGGATCATGCTCATGGAGTTTCTGGTCAAGATTTGAATATTTTCAGGTTGCCATCATAGAGCTGAAATATTGAGTGTGTCAAATGTTGAATGAGTTACGTCTTCTCCCGACAGCTGTGGACGTCGCTAATGCCGACCACCAAGCTTGAGTCCCGGGTCAGCAAACAGTGGACTGATATCGGCTTCCAGGGGGAGGATCCTGCCACGGACTTCAGGGGGATGGGCCTGCTTGGTCTGGACCAGCTTCTGTGAGTAAGATGCAGTCAAGTCCATCAGCACTGGATAAAGAATGCTGTGTGACACATTGGAGTGTGTTCTTTGGAAAATGTTGTTGAATGTGAAATCTACTTTACTTTTCACTAGATATCTGTTCTTGAGGTATTGCACCATGATGTTTTTAGTTGATTTTATTCAATTTTATGAGCTGAATTGTCTGCATTCTGCTGATCAAGTTGGTTCAGTTGTTGTGGCAGCTGAGCATGTGATGTCATCCAGCGTATTGTGACAACGAAGGCCCTAATCACCCAAGACTGTCATTGCTGTGAAGTTTGGCTGTAACTACTGATCCTTCTCAACTCTGAAGTGATACCATTAGTGTTTATAACTTTGTTATTAAGGTAGCTAAGAGGCATAGGAATATCTGCATTGGGCATGTTGTCACCCCTTTCTAGATCTCTACCTACTTGTTGATATGCCTCATCATGTACTTTACTTTCAGGTATTTCATCAAGGAATATCCTGACATTGCACAAAGTCTTCTCTCCCAGTCTCACCATCCACAATATGGGTAGGTTGTCTCCCCTCTCTGTTCCACCATCTACAGTATAGGTAAGTTGTCTCCCCTCTCAGTCTCTCCAAACACAGCCGGAAAACTAGAGGCCCATTTCACAAAGCAGTCTTACTTCTTGGGACTGTTGATACTCTCATACTGTATGCAAGACATGACCTCTACGACTGCCTTTTGGAATGGTGCCCACGGGCTGCACACCATGACTGGAGAGAAGAAGAATGTTTAATCAGCTTGTCGCAACCAATCAGATACTGACTGTGGGGTTATAATGAGAAGCACTGGGTGTGGTTCTTTGCACACCTGGTCAGTAGTTAAAAGGTTTGACATGCATCACTTCTGGCTTTCATAATGCAGAATGAAAGCCAACCCTCTCCATATGTTGCTTGTAGGCATTTCTTCATGTGTTGCCTCTAGTGATTAACATTGGTGTTTTGTGTTTCAGCTTCTCCTTTGCAATACTCGGCATCAACTTCACGGGGATGTGTTACGACCTGCTCAAATCTCGCAAACTGAGGACACATTTCTACAACCTGACTGAGGAGGCTGCCACTATGAAACAGTTCAATGAAATCTACTGTAAGTCAGCATTTGGGGAGGAAGGGAGGGAACTATTAGCAAATTTAAAGGGGGACCATGCTCCCCAGTCTGTATGGAGTTTATCATTAACCACATAACACTCACTCACTCACTCACTCACTCACTCACTCAAATCACCCACCCACCCACCCACCCACCCACCCACCCACTCACTCACTCACTCACTCACTCACTCACTCACTCACTCAAATCACCCACCCACCCACCCACCCACCCACCCACTCACTCACTCACTCACTCACTCCTGAATATTTATCTTCAAATTGCTTATGTTAAGAAGATAGATATACATAGACTCCATCCTCCACAGGTTGCCTGTTTCACGACTTCATCCAGTTCTGGTTCAAGGAGAAGCCGAGGGACATCATGGAGTTCGGTCGACTTCGCGACATGTTCCAGAAGCTGTTGGTCCGACAACTGAGAGACAAACATTTTGTGTTGAGGGCCACATTTCAGTCCCCTGGGGAGGAGGCGTCATGATGTTGCCTGGGGAGGAGGCGTCATGATGTCCCCTGGGGAGGAGGCGTCATGATGTTGCCTGGGGAGGAGGCGTCATGATGTTGCCTGGGGAGGAGGCGTCATGATGTCGCCTGGGGAGGAGGCGTCATGATGTCGCCTGGGGAGGAGGCGTCATGATGTCGCCTGGGGAGGAGGCGTCATGATGTCGCCTGGGGAGGAGGCGTCATGATGTTGCCTGGGGAGGAGGCGTCATGATGTTGCCTGTTGGAACATTAGGAACATAACATTTTCATATTTCCATATTTCCAGCATATTTTTACTTGAATTAAACTTTTGATAAGAATATATTTAAGTAGATTTGGTATTACATGTTTTGTCTATAGGAATCGTCTTTTGTTTATGAACTGAGACACATGACACCGTGACATTATTGTGAGGAAGATTCACTTTGTAGAAGTCAATAGATGTCGAAACAAATATGTGATGGAGACAAAGGAGACAATACCTGCATGATTTCTGCACTTATGATCGTCATATGTTCAATGGCATGAGAGCCATCACAAAGCTGGAATATTTTGAGTGCAGTGTTAAACAACAAGCTGGCAAACAATGGCTTAATTCAGATGTTTCGATTTTGTGAGTCATTTTTATCTTTGCATGTCAAAGCAAATGTCTCAAATAGCCACTGTGCACAATGAAACATCATGTGATCTGTGACATGACAGACTTGTGGACAAGTTTAACTGCGCCAGTCAGGCCACAACAAATTAAATATTATCATATGGCCACGTTGTTCATAGTTTGTCATCAGGTTCTATTTTCTTGGTGCTTTAATGTTTCCATATAATTTCTAGAATATATTTTGTCAGAATAATTAGGGTTGCAGGAATGGTGTCCTGTTTCCCTGAGTAAAGGGAGTAAAGTGAGTAAAGGGAGTAAAGTGAGTAAAGGGAGATGAGATGTATGTGCAGTATGATCATAATGGTTTGCTACTGTGAGCTGTACGATGTACCATGTTGCCATAGTGAGAATATTTATGTGCAATATGATCATAATGGTTTGCTACTGTGAGCTGTACCATGTACCATGTTGCCATATTGAGAATATTTATGTGCAATATGATCATAATGGTTTGCTACTGTGAGCTGTACGATGTACCATGTTGCCATATTGAGAATATTTATGTGCAATATGATCATAATGGTTTGCTACTGTGAGCTGTACGATGTACCATGTTGCCATAGTGAGAATATTTATGTGCAATATGATCATAATGGTTTGCTACTGTGAGCTGTACGATGTACCATGTTGCCATAGTGAGAATATTTATGTGCAATATGATCATAATGGTTTGCTACTGTGAGCTGTACGATGTACCATGTTGCCATAGTGAGAATATTTATGTGCAATATGATCATAATGGTTTGCTACTGTGAGCTGTACCATGTACCATGTTGCCATAGTGAGAATATTTATGTGCAATATGATCATAATGGTTTGCTACTGTGAGCTGTACGATGTACCATGTTGCCATATTGAGAATATTTATGTGCAATATGATCATAATGGTTTGCTACTGTGAGCTGTACGATGTACCATGTTGCCATATTGAGAATATTTATGTGCAATATGATCATAATGGTTTGCTACTGTGAGCTGTACGATGTACCATGTTGCCATAGTGAGAATATTTATGTGCAATATGATCATAATGGTTTGCTACTGTGAGCTGTACGATGTACCATGTTGCCATAGTGAGAATATTTATGTGCAATATGATCATAATGGTTTGCTACTGTGAGCTGTACGATGTACCATGTTGCCATAGTGAGAATATTTATGTGCAATATGATCATAATGGTTTGCTACTGTGAGCTGTACCATGTACCATGTTGCCATAGTGAGAATATTTATGTGCAATATGATCATAATGGTTTGCTACTGTGAGCTGTACGATGTACCATGTTGCCATAGTGAGAATATTTATGTGCAATATGATCATAATGGTTTGCTACTGTGAGCTGTACGATGTACCATGTTGCCATAGTGAGAATATTTATGTGCAATATGATCATAATGGTTTGCTACTGTGAGCTGTACCATGTACCATGTTGCCATAGTGAGAATATTTATGTGCAATATGATCATAATGGTTTGCTACTGTGAGCTGTACCATGTACCATGTTGCCATAGTGAGAATATTTATGTGCAATATGATCATAATGGTTTGCTACTGTGAGCTGTACGATGTACCATGTTGCCATAGTGAGAATATTTATGTGCAATATGATCATAATGGTTTGCTACTGTGAGCTGTACGATGTACCATGTTGCCATAGTGAGAATATATATGTGCAATATGATCATAATGGTTTGCTACTGTGAGCTGTACGATGTACCATGTTGCCATAGTGAGAATATTTATAGAAGTGAATTTACCAGTAAGTTGGGAAAGTGATCAGTGATCTCACCATCTTCCCGAGGGAAGAGAGTTGACTGACTTTAAAAGTCCAGTTTCCACCCTTGCCGAACTAGGCTGGAATTCCTGGGCTTGATCATAGTGTCACCAGTGGCTATTACGAGTTATGTTCCTTCTAGGCCGTCATATAGCTGGAATATTGCTGAGTGCGGCGTTAAACAACAAATAAACAAACAAACAAATCTATGCCTCTCCTATGGACCATTTAGATTCCACCTTTCGTATCACTTGCATTTGCTTCAAACAAAATGTCGGTGCACAGTCAAGATGATTTAATCTATGTTGTGATAAAATGGGTCTTACATCGCGAAGTGCATCAAAAAACATGAAAAGATTTGGAAAATATCTGTTGACAACGAGTTGGCGGTGCACAAACTTTGCAAATCCTGCAGTCGAGCGAAATCTGCGTGACAGTTCACCAAGCGGATTTTTGATTTCGTTGCGAGATTTTGATTGGACTATGCATAGACTCGTTAGTCCAGCCAAAATGTATCTCCATAATACCAGCCTAGTTAGGCAAGGGTGGAAACTGGACTTTTATAGTCAGTTTACTCTCTTGCCTCGGGAAGATGGTATCTCACATTCTGGAGTATACGCTGTGTGTCCTTCTTGCATCTCCAAGGTTAAAAGAATTGATTATTTGAGCTGTTATAGGAGGGGATATATCTTCAGAACACAATGTGCTGAAAGAAATGTGGAAGTTGTTACTATTATTTTAATATTGTAGTTGTCAGAATAGTAATGTTAGATGATTTTAGGAGAGACAAACTCAGAAAGTGCTTCAACCTTGTAATGTCACCTTATGAATGTTGTCAGCTTGGAAGGGGATATAATCTATGTGAACATCATCACATATCTGTCTACAAAGGGGAGATAATCCCTGTGAATTTCTTCATATGACCCTGTCTAGAAGGGGAGATAATCCATGTGAATATCGTGATGTAAGTTTAGCCTGCACTCCACCATCCTATACCAGTGCACTATAAAATGGTCATCAGCATGTTCATTGCCATCTGATGAAACTCATATCAGCTATATGGCTGTTATAATGCCGATGTGACGTTAAATGTTAACTCACTCATTCAAAGATCAGCATTTAGTGGTGGGAACATCATGGTGAAGGGAGGCATCACTTCCCATCACAGGACTCTAGTGGTCATTGATGGCAATGTGATGGAACATGACAGGAACATGACAGGAACATGACAAAGTAATTTGTCCTTCAAACCCGTGAATGTCACATCACTGTACAGCAGGACAGTGCTCACCTCACGCTGTTCGTGTAGTCGCAAACTGCATTGGACAACAGAACATCGCCACACTCCCTAGGTCTGGTGTTTCGCGAGATCTGTCTGCCATCAAACTTGGGATGAAATGAAGTGTCGTTTATGACGACTTCCAAACCAACCCATGCTGGTCCAGCTGTGACAGTCCTTGGTCCAGATCGGGAATGACATCCTACTAGCCTTCCTCAACCATCCTGTGTGGTCAATGAGCCGCATTGTCCAGCTTGTGTCAATGCTAATGGTTGGTATAAGCTATACTAACTTGTGAACTGACAACTGACCCCACGCCACTTTCAGCCTGAGATGACGTTACAGAGGACATGTGTTGACACTGTCAGGATGAAGTCATGGTTCAGGGACATCAGCGTGTTGTACTGTTGCAAATTCCTTCCTTGTTTACATTTATTCATTATTTCCCATGACAGTCGGTGATCCACAGAAACCTTTTTCTGCAAGTATATTTCCATTCTATTGTGATATAGCAGTACCAATTTACGACCATACCTTGGTTTGGGAAGTGACGTCACCATCTCATCTCCATCTTGCTTGTCAGTATGTTTCCACGTGAGTTTAACTCCTCCATTGCATGTCTATTTGTTGTGTGTGTTGTGTTTGAATCATACTCCCAATGAAGCCATGGTAGTGAATGTAGGTTATTTAGTCAGGGATGGCATTCCACTTGAGGCTCAGTTCCAGTAATGGTCATTCCACAGGCTCCAATTGCTCCTTCAATATGTTTCTCTGTTGCATGTGTTTTTGTTAAGTTCATTGTTACTTCGTGAAGAACTTGGCTAGGAGATACTTCACAACTCTACTGGGTGCCGTGATAGAGTACATGTTTGTGTTCTAGACTGCCAGAGGCATTTGTAAACTTAGGTTATAGTGTTGACTGCAAGTCTAACAGTCACACGACAGTGAGGCTTGCAGCTGGGTGAGAGGAAACATCGTTGTGGACTAAGCCCTACCATGACTGTTGTACTTGACAGGTAGAGAAGATTTCAGGTAACGTCAGAACTGATGAATCATATGTGAAGGAGTACTGAGTGACGCAGCAAGATGGTGTAAGGAAGTCAACACAGACAGCTTATCATGGCGCCCTGAAAATAATTACGAGTAAATGGTTGATGGCTTGCGCTTGATCCCACACTTTCAAAGTGTAGGTGTGGGTGATCCATTTCTCATCCATGTTGCCCGAGATGTAGCTGGGTAAAGATTCCCAACTCTGGCACCTTCTTGGAGATTCAATGTTGGACCGTGTAGATGTTTGATGGTATTTAGATGGAAGCTACCATTAACTCCTTGTTTTGCTTCATGTCTTACCGGCAGGTTTCTATGATGGATTTTGTCATATTTTGCTGACTTGTTACTTGGCCCGGTGTGGAGTTTACTATGTTGCCCCACACATACACTGTATAGCCAGTCTAGTACTACTGACTATAAACGTCATCATACAGTCTTTCAATAAAAATGTTTAAATAGTTTTTTGGCGTTGTTTATTTTATGTTGGTTAAAATTATGTATCCTAAAAACAGCCGGGGATTACAAAATATTTTTTTTTAATAAGGGTCGTATCAGAAGTTCCAGATGAATCCCTTGAAATAGGAAAAATGACTAGATTCTAGTATGCAGCCACAGAGGTAATACCCTAAGCATTTCAAATATACATTTGCAACTTGGGGAAACATTCTGCGCACACTTAGGCCAGCTTAAATGTATGTTCTAGGACTTGTTTTTTCTTTCTCTTTAACCCATTTCTCGCCCTTGGCCTTTCTTTTTGTGTATTAAGATTACTGCCCAGGCTCTGCTCCTCCCGCAGATACCATACTGTCAGTAGTTTCTGACATTATTCTTGAAGTATAAGGGGATATGGATAAAGTGAAACATCACTCAAAATTGGGATTTTTTCATAACTTCAAATGACTATAAAATCATTATTTTGTTGGTTTTGATTTAGTTTAAAGATACCGTCGAATACAAATTTCCAAGACCCTTCCAAATATTTATACCACATGGTATGGTTTCCTAAAGGTGTCACGTGACCAGTCCCTAATGCATAATGGTCGGAAATTACGTTTGAATCCTGTTAGGACAATATGTCCAAAATATTTGAAAATAAGAGTCATGTGAAAAGGAATAATTCATTAGCGAGTCTTGTGGCATGGAGTGAGTGTAGGCAACCTCATACAGGACAACTGTAAGGACATCTCATTCTCGCCTTAAATAATAGTTGATCACAGCTTGAATAGGCCACACCTGAAGCAATCTGAACTTGGAAGACTAACTAGATATCACTAACCTGCTGTGACATACCAGCCGACGGTGGCATCACTTGTCAGCTGTGGCATTACTATTCAACAGACTGTGACATCACCAGTCAGCTGTGGCATTACTATTCAACAGACTGTGACATCACCAGTCAACTGTGGCATTACTATTCAACAGACGGTGGCATCACCAGTCAACTGTGGCATTACTATTCAACAGACTGTGACATCACCAGTCAGCTGTGGCATTACTATTCAACAGACTGTGACATCACCAGTCAACTATGGCATTACTATTCAACAGACTGTGACGCAACTCAGCACAGCAAATACAGCAAGGTATAGGACTAGATGACCCCAGTAGGACCCCTGTTGACCCATAAAGATCTGGGGTCGGTCTTCAGCAATCCATTCTTGCTGTTAAAGTCGACTATGCTTGTCCAAAGAGGCGACTAACGGGATCGGGTGGTCAGGCTCGCTGACTTGGTTGATGCAGTTGCGAAGATGCTCATGATGTCAATCACTGGATTGTCTGGTTCAGACTTGATTATGTACAGACCGCCGTCATATAGCTAGAATATTGCTGACTGCGGCGTTTATTAACAAAAAAACAAAGAAAGGGCCCCGGCAGGGGCGTCAAGACGAGTTAAGGCCATCGAGTTAAGGCGTTCTGAATCACTTGAACATTGTCTGTCTCCTACTATGTCACAGCTAGAACGGCTTGGAGTGATGAGTGATTCAATCCGACCTTAGCAATATTCCAGCCATATTGCGGCTGAGAGACAACAACAATTTCGCAGATTATAACCATGTAGGGGTTCGAACCCGGACTTTCAGGAGCCAGACCGTCAAGCACAAGGCAAAAAGTCTCAAGGAGAGGCATGGTCCTGCATACTTCATTCTTTGTGTCTACCTGTGTGTGGGATGCAGTCATGCTACTTGCCTCACGACGTTTAAACTGCCCACACAAACGCCCTTATTCAAATCTATTTATAGTGTGTACACCCTTTGTACAGAATATGGGAGAGACAGCAGTCTCACATGATCAACCAACCAATAGATGTTTGTGTTTTAATAGTAACTGTTTAGTGGACAACATTCCAACAAGTCGAATCCTAGTCTATGTCAGAATGACAGCTAGTCAAGGACTACGCTTGCTCCGCGGCCGGAACTGATGCACCATGGAAATATTTATGAGGGGAGTGACTCTTTGTAATAGAATATTTAATCTGTTGAACATACCAAGGTGAAGGTCAGTCAATAAGCTGTCACGAGTAGAACAGGGTAGAGTGGGGCAACACTGTCAACCAGCTGGTAGGTATATATTTTCTGTGAAACGACAGAGTAGGTGTAACTCTTCCACAGTCTCACAAGACAGACATTGTGTCCTTGTGTGTGGTGTAGCTAGAGGGAAACATCACATGTACATGTAATACTGAACGTTGTTTATAGTTGGGCAGTAATCGTGTGATCGAGACATGGATCGATCAGCGTTACCTCGAATATCGATCTCCTCAGTCACGCTTGGGTGAATGTAAACAGCGCGCTAGGCCCACAACTCCACTGGAGTACAACAGTCGCAGTGTAACGCGGTTCAGTGTGTATAAGAACATCGGACATTTTGCCAGAATAGAGATAAGCTACACACACTGAAGCAGGAAGCTGTGAAGCTCGGACGAACGTCCCTGATGTAGGAATCTAGGTCATGCTAATTTCATCAATTTATCACACACATATACACCACAGGACCATGTAATAATAAACTGTGAGTTTTGTTGTTATTATTATTAGTTACATAGTCCTGTGCGCACACATACACACTAATACACACAGACACGCACACACACACACACACACACACACACACACACACACACACACACACACACACACACACTAATACACACATACTAATACACACACACACACGCACTAATATATACACACACCCACTCTCTAACGCCCACACTAAAACACACATACATACACACAAACTAATACACACACACACCAACACACATACACACACCAACTAACACACACACAAATACACTCACATACACACATAAACACTAATACACACACACTAATACACACATGCACACACTCACTAACACATACACATACACACACGACCCGTGAAGATTCCGGGGTAGAACAGGTCTTCAGCAACCCATGCTTGCCGTAAAAGGTGAGTATGCTTGTCGTAAAAGGCGATTAACGGGATCGGTTGGTCAGGCTCGATGACTTAGTTGATGCATGTCATCGATCTAAATTGCGTGGATCGATGCTCATGATATTAATCACTGGATTGTCTGGTCCAGACTCGATTATTTACAAACCGCCGTCATATAACTGGAATATTGCTGAGTGTGGCGTTAAACAACAAACCAAACCAAAAAAACTAATATGCACATACACATACACACACTAATATACACATACATACACGTCATCAGAATACTACACGATGACATACAACACTGAAACCTCTCTATAGTTAACATGTCACATACCAACACACTACACAACAGTGAACAATCTCTCTACAGTTAACATGTCACATACCAACATACTACACAACATTGAACCATCTCTCTATAGTTAACATGTTATAAACCAACACACTACACAACAGTGAAACATCTCTCTATAGTTAACATGTCACATACCAACACTCTACACAACAGTGAACAATCTCTCTATAGTTAACATGTCACATACCAACACACTACACAACAGTGAAACATCTCTCTATAGTTAACATGTCACATACCAACACACTACACGACAGTGAAACATCTCTCTATAGTTAACATGCCATATACCAACACACTACACGACAGTGAAACATCTCTCTATAGTTAACATGCCACATACCAACACACTACACGACAGTGAAACATCTCTCTATAGTTAACATGTCACATACCAACACACTACACAACAGTGAAACATCTCTCTATAGTTAACATGTCACATACCAACACACTACACAACAGTGAACAATCTCTCTACAGTTAACATGTCACATACCAACATACTACACAACATTGAACCATCTCTCTATAGTTAACATGTTATAAACCAACACACTACACAACAGTGAAACATCTCTCTATAGTTAACATGTCACATACCAACACACTACACAACAGTGAACCATCTCTCTATAGTTAACATGTCACATACCAACACACTACACAACAGTGAAACATCTCTCTATAGTTAACATGCCACATACCAACACACTACACGACAGTGAAACATCTCTCTATAGTTAACATGTCACATACCAACACACTACACGACAGTGAAACATCTCTCTATAGTTAACATGTCACATACCAACACACTACACGACAGTGAAACATCTCTCTATAGTTAACATGTCACATAGCAACACACTACACGACAGTGAAACATCTCTCTATAGTTAACATGCCACATACCAACACACTACACAACATTGACACATCTCTCTATAGTTAACATGTCACATACCAACACACTACACAACAGTGAAACATCTCTCTATAGTTAACATGTCACATACCAACACACTACACGACAGTGAAACATCTCTCTATAGTTAACATGCAACATACCAACACACTACACAACAGTGAAACATCTCTCTATAGTTAACATGTCACAAACCAACACACTACACAACAGTGAAACATCTCTCTATAGTTAACATGCCATATACCAACACACTACACGACAGTGAAACATCTCTCTATAGTTAACATGCCACATACCAACACACTACACGACAGTGAAACATCTCTCTATAGTTAACATGTCACATACCAACACACTACACAACAGTGAAACATCTCTCTATAGTTAACATGTCACATACCAACACACTACACGACAGTTAAACATATCTCTATAGTTAACATGCCACATACCAACACACTACACAACAGTGAAACATCTCTCTATAGTTAACATGTCACATACCAACACACTACACGACAGTGAAACATCTCTCTATAGTTAACATGTCACATACCAACACACTACACAATAGTGAACCATCTCTCTATAGTTAACATGTCACATACCAACACACTACACAACAGTGAAACATCTCTCTATAGTTAACATGTCACATACCATGTTAATGTTAAATTGATCTACACATATTGCTGTTACAATGGCAATGTTACACTGTTTTACACATATTGTTGTTGCAATGAGAATGTTACACTGTTCTACACATATTGTTGTTACAATGGCAATGTTGCACTGTTCTACACATATTGTTGTTACAATGGCAATGTTGCACTGTTCTACACATATTGTTGTTACAATGGCAATGTTACACTGTTCTACACATATTGTTGTTACAATGGCAATGTTACACTGTTCTACACATATTGTTGTTGCAATGAGAATGTTACACTGTTCTACACATATTGTTGTTTCAATGGCAATGTTGCACTGTTCTACACATATTGTTTTTACAATGGCAATGTTGCACTGTTCTACACATATTGTTGTTACAATGACAATGTTACACTGTTCTGCACATATTGCTGTTACAATGGCAATGTTGCACTGTTCTACACATATTGTTGTTACAATGGCAATGTTGCACTGTTCTACACATATTGTTTTTACAATGGCAATGTTGCACTGTTCTACACATATTGTTGTAACAATGGCAATGTTACACTGTTCTACACACATTTTTGTTACAATGGCAATGTTACACTATTCTACACATATTGTTGTTACAATGTTAATGTTAATTTGTTCTACACATATTGTTACAATGTTAATGTTAATTTGTTCTACACATATTGTTACAATGGAAATGTTTTACTGTTCTGCACATATTGTTGTAACAATGGAAATGTTACACTGTTCTTCACATGCTGAAAGTAATGTTTAAGTTACAATACCATCATTTACTAGAATAGGTCAGTATATGTTCCGGTTACCAAGGCAATGTTACATTCTACAGTTACTATGGCAACAAACAGACTCCTGAGTCCCAGCCAGGCAAGCGAGTAGACACACCTGGCATCCCAGGACATTCTTCTGTGGGGCAGGTCGGTGATGAGTGGAGCCACCCCAACAACAGGTAGTACACACCATGGTGATTTCATCGTTAAAATTGCCTCATCATAGATGATCTATTGTTTTCATTTATGGTATTATGTAAGGGTATATTAGTTTGTTTAAATAATTATTTACTAGTTCGAAAGGATGCATTTATTGAAGTGTCATCCATACAACGTGTGGGACAGATGGTCGAGTACTTCTCTGTGCGTCCCTCAGGCGTGAAGACACCTAAGATCGCGGGTTCGAATCCCATATTCGCCCTGACAGTGTTTCCACTTTTGTCATAACTATTTCTGTGTTCGTGTCTTTTTACAAAACTGGCTAACGTCTAAGATCTGCATCATTTCGGCCTTTCATCCCACATAAAGCAGACACGCCGTGGTATAACTGGAATACTGTTCAAAGCGGCGTTAAAACCAACTCACTCACTTACCCGCTTCATCTATTATCCACAGTGATAGTAAGTGGCGACTTGGTCGCTTTGTTCGTTGGCTTGTCATGCTGAGGACCTTGGCTCGATGTCCGACATAAGTGCAGCCATGAGAAGCCGTGACATGGCTGGAATATTGCTGAAAGCTTCAGTGAGACAAACTCATCGATACGTCCGTGCGCTATTGTGTCACTATTGTGTCTCTAGATTGTCTGATTCATCAGTTGATTGTCTGGTCAGGACTCGATTGTTAACAGGCCACCGTCGTATCGCAGGAGCACTGTCCGGCGCCAGTCAAGAAACAAACACCTACGTTTTTATGCAAATTGAAGCGAGTGCTTCCGATAGGGCAAGACATGTTTAGCCTTATTACTGACTTTCAGTGACCCATTCATGTATCTTTCACAGCTATTTGCCTTTTACGCCCCATTGAAACGGTTTCGTCGGATAATCGAGACTGGTTATTTTCTGACGTTGACGTGTCATGTCTATATTTTCTTGCGCCAGGTACATGCCGAGCCTGTTTCTCCGTGGAGAAGAAATACAAGGAGAGGAGTGGAGACCCTAACTTCTTCCTACTGCATGCTGAGCGTGACGTCATCACCGCGCCCAAGTCTGACAAGGAGAAGAAGAAGAGGAAGAAACTGCTGCAGGATCAGCTGGAGAAGAGAGTGGCCGCCTTGAGGAACACAGTTGGAGGAGTTGTCATTGTCCACCTACACGGCCAGGCCAGCACTGACAGATACCTCGAGTACTTTGATGAGTTCATTGGTAACCCGTTCTCCGAACTTCTTGAAGATGGTAGACTCTTTGTTGAAACATACGTGCGCCACTGGCTGTCCACTCTTCCCGGATTTGAAGATTTCTATGATTTCGTGCATATAAACGTGTGCAAGACAGCAGGTGTTGCTACTGTCGATTTCTGCACAAAGACCTGCAACGATTTTGAAAAGAAGAATCCGTCAGTTTTAAATATTCTATCGATTCTGTCGCGAACGTTTTATACAAAAGTGCACCAGCCTCAGATCCGAGGTATTCCACTTCCGGCGGAAGTCGACAGTCTGCACGAGAACAGAGCAATTGAGTTGAAAACCTTTATGAACCCAGAAGCTGAAAAGGACGTGGTTCAGTTTGTTGATCATGTTTGGTTCGACCTGAAACTGCGAGAAAACCTCACATCTCTGACGAAGGTGGAACACGGAGGGTCATTCTACGTTGGGATTACAGAGGAAAAGAACAAGGATACTACATACAAAACAAAGACACCTAAAATACTTGGCTTTCATGTCAGTTTTCCACATGAGAACATCACAGAACATATACAGCAGAAAATAGCAGAACATGTTACAGTTTTACAGTTGAATGGACTGTTTGAAGATGCTCCCTCTGATCTGATTAATATTGCGTTTCATGAAGTTCGTGACAGCCATCCTCGGAAGTTTGTGTTGGAGATTGCAGTGAGGCACTTTGACGGTATTGTGTTCTATGACAAAGAGGGACCCCGGACCTACCTCATAGATCACGGGAACATCGTCAGGATGACTCGGATGGAGTGGCTGCACAGGGTCAGGTGTCGCCTGCCGCCATGGATCATATAAAGAATTCTCACTGAAAATAGTGGCTATTTTTAACATCTTCTTTCTTCCAACAATATTTTTACGCTTCTCTCAAAGTGTAATATTAATACTTATTGACAGACAGGACTTCACCGTACGTTTAATTCACGAACGAGACAGGTTTAGTCTACAGTAACTGATACTACCAAAGCTACTAGGCAAGCCCAATGATGTCGACCTCGACCGAGAGCTCTGAGCATCCGTATCAGTCCGACGGAGAGATTCCCTGCTGCTTCACGAAGAGTTATGACTCCACGTGTTCCGAGGACAGCGAGAAGAACACCCCAGGTCAGTTGGTGTTCTCTGTACTTATAACTAGTATTTTAGCAATTTCCTTTCACAAGTGTGATTTCTTTTGATTTGAACTGGTTCAAAAAGTGAAAAGAATAATCGTCGCACAGTACCAACTGGACCATTTTGTAATTTGATATGAAGTCAGTGCTCCCTCTGTTCATTGATTGTTGATTTGGTTCAGATACCCGGGATGCATGGCACCACCTGCCTCCAGATTCCTTCAGTGAGACGGACATCAGCTGCATCATCAACCAGATACACAGCAATGAGGAACCGGAAGGTAGGAGTCAGTTATGTTTAACGCCGCTTTTAACAGTATTCCAGTTATATCACTGCGTGTCAGCTTAATGTGGGAGGAAAGATCAAAGTGATAGGGTATGGTGTTGACAAACCTAGAAACATAATTGGGGCGAACCCACAATCGTAGGTTTTCGAGTCCCCCGGAAGGAAGACGACATGATAACACATATGAAAGTTCACATTAGTTGGTTAAGTCAACCAGTCAATCTCCCTCAGAAACCTCAGTTGGTTTCAAGTTACAAACAAGCGGCAATGGTGAAATTTGATTTTACGTCGCGTAATGATTATTGCACTTATATAGCGACTTGCATGCACGCGCGCTCGCGTGCATGTGTATAGCTGCCTGTAATAGTCCAAACGTATGCCGGTTTTATAGTGGAGACGGCCAGTTGCAAACAATGGTAATTATGTTCATTGCAATGTTATGTATGGAACATACCACTTGAGGTGTTGCTATAGATACATCACTATATGCGTGATCATCAGTACTGGCACCATCTATACAGAGAACCGGATACTATATTCATAAAACTACTTTACTTTGTTTCAGATTGGGTACATGTGTACCCAAAGGGGGCTGAACTTTACTTGGAGCCCATGATATTCAACAACATTAAAAATCTAGCACGTGGTAAAGGGAATTTCGTATACATCAGTTCTGGGTTGATGAAAGATTTGAGGATCTTGGACAAAACTCGAGTCCCACACAGCGTCATATGTGACATCTGTGTTTTCATACCAGAGAAACCAGTCACATTGTTGACATTTGTTGCCACGGACAACAGACTTAGTGACGTGTACAGCTACACTTCCTGTCTGGCGAGGGCCATGACTACAACAGTGAGGAGGGGGAGTCTGGCCTCCTTCCAGATGGTGCATGGCGTGGTCGCACCACAGACATGGCGGTCAAGCAGCACATTCAGTGACAGCATAGAGGAACTGGTGTCAGCCGCCAGAAGGACAGCAATTCCACACTCCATGGACAACAGTCAGTCTCACTGCATTACTGCACTCAAGCAGTTCCTTGAAATGATCAAAGACAACACAGCTGTGAGGGTGGGCAGCAGTCCACCTGGGAGTCCAGTGCAGGATGGTATGTATGTGATAGTCAGTGAATATATTCCATAGGGAGTGAGGGTAGTTGGCGTGACGCTGCTCTGGGCTGCGTATCGTTTATATCACAGTGTGTCAGCTTGTTGTCAAAGTGTAATCGATGGGGATTACAGATAACAATGCCTGTCGTACGAGATCACCTATGGATCGGGTTGTTGTGTGTCATTGTACACTGATAACGTTGGTTGATAATCATAATATCAATCAGCGGATTGTCTGTCCAGATTCGACCCAAAAACAGGTGTGATGCCAACAGCCCAGGGCCCTAATGTGGGGCTGATCGGTGATCATGACATTGCCTCAGAACAACTGGTCGCGCTTGTCCCTTAAATAGTGAAAATAATTTGATAAACATTTACATATTTTGTAACTTATTCGGCATTAAAACGTGATTACATAAAGTCTGATATTTACTAAGTTACCAATGGCCAAGGACTTGTTTCCCATCCACTTAATAAACTTTAGTCACTCTTGCCAGTGATTTATTATTTCTAGTTCTTAATAATATTGTATCTTCATTTCATGCACAGAGTCTTCATGTTTGAGCCCAGTCGTAACCCGAGCCTACGAGATGACCATTGATGTCCTACAGAAACAACGCCATGCTGTAGTGACAGGCGGACCAGGCGAAGGAAAGACAACAGTAGCCCATATGCTCTGCAGGCTGTATCAACAGCAAGGATATCAAACCTTCTTCTTCCAAGACTTTGAAGAAGCTGATTTAACTATCATATCTGAAGTTAAAGTACCATTTCTGTTGGTAATTGATGACATGTTCAAAAGCGAAAATTCAGTTGAACATCAGAGCTTTCTGAAAAGTTTTGAAAAGCATATTGAGGATAATGATGTTATTCTAGTGATGGTGTGTCAATTGTACTACTTTAAGAAGGCACAGACAATGTTTCAGACGTACTTGCTCGGGGATGGCTGTGCCATTGACATCACAGATATCAACTCCACCGGCCACAGAAGCACATGTGTTGAACGCTACCAGCTCCTGCAAAGTATGGGTGTTAATGTTACTTCCTCTGAGCTGATAAAAATATCCAATATCAAAACCTACACACCTGGATTCCCTGCTATTAGCAACGACTTTCCAACAGAGACAAGATCAGACCCAATTCATTACTTTTCCTATCCCCATAGATACATCAGAGGTCAGATCTGCTGTCTGCTCCACCAATCGCCTTGTGTAGCAGCAGCATTAATATTGCTGATCATCAATGGAGGGGCAATTAGAAGGAACTCAAAGATTCGTGAAGAGCTCCTTGAAGCCATCAAGACCGTATGCCAAGGCTCATCTGAAGAAACTATCTTTGATGAACTTCAGTTCCTATCAGGATCATTTCTTACCACCAGTGATGGGTTTATAACCTTCCAGAACCATGTCGTATATGATGCGTGTGTATTTGCTGCAGCTTTACAGTATCCAGAGGTTTTGTGGAACAATTGTAGCATTCAGTATTTGTCCCAAGTAAATTGGCCTCTAACTGAACTGAATACTGATATTCTGATATCAAAGCAGAACTTACACCATTTCATACATGATTTAGGTGACAGATTACGGAAAAGACAGTTTGAAATGGTTTTGAAAAGTCCGTTACTGGCATCAGAAGAAAATGTTGATTTTCTCATTGCTTGCATTGGAACAAACATAGAAGAGGTACTTTACTCGGTCGATGTGAGTAGGAAGGGAAACCTCCTCTACTGGACTGGTCACTCACTGAATCATTACATGACACAACTTCTCCTGCGTCATTCTGAGATGTCATCAGACATAGTACAACATGCTCTTTCCACCTGTATTTGTTTACAGAAAACACATGTCTTCTCATATCTCTGGAACATGTTAAAACACAATTTAAAAAACTTTGACCAAAGTGACATTGATCGTCAAGACGGCAATGGTCAGACCCTACTGTACTCCTCTGTGAGGACAGCTGAAAATGATATGGTCAAGTTCATATTGAAGGAAGGTGCAAGTCCAATGGTGCAAGATAACATGGGCAGCAACTCTCTCCATGAGGCATGTAGGCTTGGTAAATCTGATATCTTAAGAAGTCTTGTAGCTGTCAAAGGCACCAACATTAATGTGAAAGACAGACACTCAAGGACGCCTTTGATGATTGCAGCCTTGCATGGACACTATGAGACCTTCAGGATACTTTCATGTATGGAAGGTTGCGACAAAGCATGTGTCGATCATGACGGAAACCATGTCCTACACTTGGCCTGTTTGTCTGGGAATAAAAAAATTGTTCAATCTATTATAGCCTCTGTTGATGTGGATGTCAACCAGAGAGGCCAAGATGGGAAAACACCACTGATGATTGCAACAAGTGAAGGGCATGGTGATATATTTGATGTCCTGATCAACGCAGGCTGTCAGACAGACATAGACATGAGTTTAGTGCCCACTGAACAAGGAATTGCAAAATATAGGCACAATGCTGTCTCAAAGCACCAAGGGAAGGATGGACCTGTCATCAGCAAACTTGCCGATCATCAGCATGCTCAGGGGATATTGCACAGGTTAGCAAACAATGGACACTATCAACTTCTGCAATTTCTGCTGTCAAAAGATACATTTAATCTAGATTGTACAAACTCCATCGGAAGAACACCAGTCATGACAGCAGTCGTGGCTGGTCACCAAGCAGTGTATGACCTCTTTGTTAGCAAGGGGTGTTCTCTTGATGTGACAGACAAGGATGGTTGCAATATCCTTCATCTAGCATGCAAGACAGGTAGCCATGTTCTTATTGAGATAATCATGAAATGTCACGCTATTGATGTCAATTGTAAGGATGAGACTAACAAGAGTGCAGTGATGCATGCAGTTGAAGGAGGACATCTGGAAGCCTTTAAGCTATTAAGAGACAAATGTGACCTCCTTTGCATAGATAATGATGGCAACAGTTTGCTACATCTCGCCTGCATCGGTGGGTGTGTAGATATTGTTGAGCTTCTGATGACATCTGGTAGATTTGACATAGACTCCAGGAATCAGCGTGGTAGGACCCCTGCAATGGTTGCTGCATACGCTGGCCATAGTGAAATATATAGCGATTTGAAGAGGAGAGGATGTGACTTGGATAAATTAGATACCAAGGGTCTTTCATGTTTTTGCTGTGCTTGCATGGGTGGTAACATTGACATCGTTTCAGATATGTTGTATCACAACAGATTGTTTATGCATCACCGAGATACTCAAGGCCGCACGCCAACTATGCACGCTGCAGAACATGGGCATGTGAAGGTGATGGTCTTTCTACTGGATAATGGGGGAGATGTTTCAGAACAAGACGATAATGGCAACACACTTCTCCACATTGCGTGTTGTACAGGTAATGAGGGGATTGTGAAAGCTTTTTTGAGTGGGAATACTGACATCAACCGACGAGGTCACTTGGGGAGGACACCAATCATGATGGCAGCTATGAAGGGTCACAAGAGGGTGTTCAACCTCTGCCTGAAACAATCTTGTGCCTTATCCACAAAGGATTACAGTGGCAACAACCTTCTACATGCGGCATGTATTGGAGGACATGTTCAGATTGTTCAATGGCTTTTGTTACAAAACATGTTTGACATAAATTCGAGAGGTGAATCAGGAAAGACACCACTGATGATGGCAGCTGAACGTGGGTATGTTGAAGTCTTCAATCTGCTGGTAAAGGAAGGATGTGATCACAACCTTTTGGATGAAAGAAGTAACACGACCCTTCATGTGGCATGCGCAAGCGGTAATGTTATAATAGTGAAATACCTCCTCTCACAGTGTGGCCTGGAGGGGGACTGCAGAGGGGAGACAGGGAGAACGCCAGCCATGTGTTCAGCGATTGGTGGTCATAAGCAGTTGTTGACACATCTGGTACAAACAGGGGCGAACCTGTCTCTCACAGATGATGACAATAATAACAGCTTTCATCTTGCATGCCTTGGGGGAAGTGTGGAGGTATGTAACCTTCTTCTACATCTAGCCGTTGATGTGTGTGATCTTGCATCAAGGGGACGAAATGGCAGAACGCCAGTTATGATGGCAGCATCCAAAGGTCATTCGGGAGTTTTCGAGCTACTTATAAGTAAAGGGTGCAAACTTTCAGAACTAGATGATAACCATGACAGCATCCTCCATTTGGCGTGCCTGGGTGGCAACGTAGCAATTGTCCAGTACCTGCTGCTGCAAGGAATCGTTAACCTAAACAGTAAAGGACGGCACGGAAGAACCCCATTGATGCTTGCAGCATGGAAGGGGTTTACCCAAGTGTACTTCTTGCTTGTAAGTAGAGGGTGTGATCTTACAGGTGAAGATGAATATGGAGACAACATCCTACATCTGGCATGTCGAGGTGGTAGAGCAGACATAGTGGAGCATCTGATCTCTCACCGACATGGGGACCTTGAGAGCAGGGGCCAATATGGAAGAACGCCCGTGATGATGGCAGCAGGGAAAGGATGCAAACAGGTGGTAGATTTACTCATTGACAACATATGCGACCTCACTGCCGTGGACAGTAATGGAAACACTGTTCTTCATCTCGCTTGCCTCAGTGGTAAAGCTTGGTTTGTCAAATATCTCCTCTCTAAGGCCACGGTGGATGTGTTACAGGAAAACGATTCTCAACTCTCCCCAGACAGCTTTGCGAGGTACTGCGGTCAGAAGGGGGTGTTCACGATGCTTTTGAGATGCTCCCATTCGGCCTAGTGATGTAAGTGCTGCAAACCGATAACATGGCGTGGAGCAGAATGCTAACAGACGGTTTGCACGTGTGTTTTGTAGTGTATTTATTTAAAATAGATTGGCAATTGGTCTGCATGTTGGCAGATATATGCTGTCTCCTTTTGGACTGTGAGTAATACCACATTTGCTCGCATTTGACTAGCCGTTGCAAGATGTATGATTTCTCTGTTAGAAGGTATTAAACGTTACAACGTTCATGGAATCCGGCATCCTGCTACTTCGACGTGGCAACTGAGACGAGGCAACTGTCACGTGGCAACTGAGACGTGGCAACTGTAACGTGGCAACTGAGACGTGGCAACTGTCACGTGGCAACTGAGACGTGGCAACTGAGGCGTGGCAACTGTCACGAGCAACTGAGACGTGGCAACTGAGACGTGGCAACTGAGACGTGGCAACTGTCACGTGGCAACTGAGACGTGGCAACTGTGACGTGGCAACTGTGACGTCAGTGTGCACCCATAATCAACATCAAACATTGATGTCATGTTTTTGTTTTCTTGTACAATATGTCCGCGTGTTTTGTTCATGTAAAGAATTGACTTACCTTGGGACGGGTGCCGCTGGTGAGGAAGGAGACATTCATCTTTTCGCGAACACCTGGTGTCATCACTTATACCAGGATACTCTAAATAGTGATTCATAAACTGTTATAATACAATCGGAATTCCACAGCAGTTGCAATGTTACAATACAGTCGGAATCCCACAGCAGCTGCAATGTTACAATACAGTCAGAATCCCACAGCAGCTGCAATGTTACAATACAGTCGGAATCCCACGGCAGCTGCAGTGTTACAATACAGTCAGAATCCCACAGCAGCTGCAATGTTACAATACAGTCGGAATCCCACAGCAGCTGCAGTGTTACAATAAAGTCAGAATCCCACAGCAGCTGCAATGTTACAATACAGTCGGAATCCCACAGCAGCTCCAATGTTACAATACATTCAGAATCCCACAGCAGCTGCAATGTTACAATACAGTCGGAATCCCACAGCAGCTGCAATGTTACAATACAGTCGGAATCCCACGGCAGCTGCAGTGTTACAATACAGTCGGAATCCCACAGCAGCTGCAATGTTACAATACAGTCAGAATCCCACAGCAGCTGCAATGTTACAATACAGTCGGAATCCCACAGCAGCTGCAGTGTTACAATACAGTCGGAATCCCACAGCAGCTGCAATGTTACAATACAGTCGGAATCCCAAAGCAGCTGCAATGTTACAATACAGTCGGAATACCACAGCAGCTGCAATGTTACAATACAGTCGGAATCCCACAGCAGCTGCAATGTTACAATACAGTCGGAATCCCACAGCAGCTGCAGTGTTACAATACAGTCGGAATCCCACAGCAGCTGCAATGTTACAATACAGTCGGAATACCACAGCAGCTGCAATGTTACAATACAGTCGGAATCCCACAGCAGCTGCACTGTTACAATACAGTCGGAATCCCACAGCAGCTGCAATGTTACAATACAGTCGGAATCCCACAGCAGCTGCAATGTTACAATACAGTCGGAATCCCACAGCAGCTGCAATGTCACAATACAGTCGGAATCCCACAGCAGCTGCAGTGTTACAATACAGTCGGAATCCCACAGCAGCTGCAATGTTACAATACAGTCGGAATCCCACAGCAGCTGCAATGTTACAATACAGTCGGAATCCCACAGCAGCTGCAGTGTTACAATACAGTCGGAATCCCACAGCAGCTGCAATGTTACAATACAGTCGGAATCCCACAGCAGCTGCAATGTTACAATACAGTCGGAATCCCACAGCAGCTGCAATGTCACAATACAGTCGGAATCCCACAGCAGCTGCAATGTTACAATACAGTCGGAATCCCACAGCAGCTGCAGTGTTACAATACAGTCGGAATCCCACAGCAGCTGCAGTGTTACAATGGCATGACATAAGGCTGGCTTGATTGTGTATATTTCCGCCAATGCTGAAGATATCAAATTTAGGTGTGTTATCATCAGGAGTTACATGTGGACCCACAGAAGAACTCGTATATTTAAAGATGCTCGATCATTTAGTGAAATAAGTGAACTTTATCAAGCTGAGATATGAGGGTAATCATTATTTGATAATGTATCACTATAATGAATTTGCAGATTTTTCTGATTTTATCGGTTACCATGACGTCACAATCAAAATTAATGACATCACTAATCCCTCTGCATCTGAAGCTGGTTGGCTGATTCTGCACTCAAGACACTGCATATTACTGTATGCAAACTAAAAAACTGGGGAACTGATTCTGGGTGATAGAATAGAATAAAATAGAATAGTATAGAATCCTGGAGAAGCTGCTCAGTTACGTCTCCCCAGGTCCCTGATATGGTGGCCTGACTTTGGTTGCTGGTTACCTACAGCCCGTTTTCATATTTTGTTGCTGAATAATAATTTATTCTTTGAAATGTTCTCAAACTAGTTTTAAGTAAAATCTGTGATAATATAATTATTGTACTCTACTTCGGCGTCATTTTTTATAATTCTGTATATTTGTTATTAATGTATTTAACTTTCTCTCGTCACGATATGGTTGGAATATTGCCGATATGACGTTATATTCTAACTCACTCACTTACTTTTCAGTGACGTAAGCTTGTTCGTACTTTTGTTTAACATTTATTTCACATTAAGTGGCAGGATTTTACAACAGCCCCTACAGGACCAGGTGGCTGGTCTGACAAGTCGCAGTATGTGCAGACTTGGTACACAATACAAATTACAACATTTAAAAAAACTGACACAAAATGGAAGGGCAGTTGGACAGTTTAACAAATAATGTATTGGTTCCGGCACTTCACATCTGTCACATTTATTACTGGTCTTGATACTAAGTTCATGTAAACATATGCTAAAGGGTCTTGATACTAGGTTCATGTAAACATATGCTACAGGGTCTTGATACTAGGTTCATGTAAACATATGCTACAGGGTCTTGATACTAGGTTCATGTAAACATATGCTACAGGGTCTTGATACTAGGTTCATGTAAACATATGCTAAAGGGTCTTGATACTAGGTTCATGTAAACATATGCTACAGGGTCTTGATACTAGGTTCATGTAAACATATGCTACAGGGTCTTGATACTAGGTTCATGTAAACATACGCTACAGGGTCTTGATACTAGGTTCATGTAAACATACGCTACAGGGTCTTGATACTAGGTTCATGTAAACATATGCTACAGGGTCTTGATACTAGGTTCATGTAAACATATGCTAAAGGGTCTTGATACTAGGTTCATGTAAACATATGCTACAGGGTCTTGATACTAAGTTCATGTAAACATATGCTAAAGGGTCTTGATACTAGGTTCATGTAAACATATGCTACAGGGTCTTGATACTAGGTTCATGTAAACATATGCTACAGGGTCTTGATACTAGGTTCATGTAAACATATTCTACAGGGTCTTGATACTAGGTTCATGTAAACATATGCTACAGGGTCTTGATACTAGGTTCATGTAAACATATGCTACGGGGTCTTGATACTAAGTTCATGTAAACATATGCTACAGGGTCTTGATACTAGGTTCATGTAAACATATGCTAAAGGGTCTTGATACTAGGTTCATGTAAACATATGCTACAGGGTCTTGATACTAGGTTCATGTAAACATATGCTAAAGGGTCTTGATACTAGGTTCATGTAAACATATGCTACAGGGTCTTGATACTAAGTTCATGTAAACATATGCTAAAGGGTCTTGATACTAGGTTCATGTAAACATATGCTACAGGGTCTTGATACTAAGTTCATGTAAACATATGCTACAGGGTCTTGATACTAGGTTCATGTAAACATATGCTACAGGGTCTTGATACTAAGTTCATGTAAACATATGCTACAGGGTCTTGATACTAGGTTCATGTAAACATATGCTACAGGGTCTTGATACTAGGTTCATGTAAACATATGCTACAGGGTCTTGATACTAGGTTCATGTAAACATATGCTACAGGGTCTTGATACTAGGTTCATGTAAACATATGCTACAGGGTCTTGATACTAGGTTCATGTAAACATATGCTAAAGGGTCTTGATACTAGGTTCATGTAAACATATGCTAAAGGGTCTTGATACTTGGTTCATGTAAACATATGCTACAGGGTCTTGATACTAGGTTCATGTAAACATATGCTAAAGGGTCTTGATACTAGGTTCATGTAAACATATGCTACAGGGTCTTGATACTAGGTTCATGTAAACATATGCTACAGGGTCTTGATACTAGGTTCATGTAAACATATGCTAAAGGGTCTTGATACTAGGTTCATGTAAACATATGCTACAGGGTCTTGATACTAGGTTCATGTAAACATATGCTACAGGGTCTTGATACTAAGTTCATGTAAACATATGCTAAAGGGTCTTGATACTAGGTTCATGTAAACATATGCTACAGGGTCTTGATACTAAGTTCATGTAAACATATGCTACAGGGTCTTGATACTAGGTTCATGTAAACATATGCTACAGGGTCTTGATACTAAGTTCATGTAAACATATGCTAAAGGGTCTTGATACTAAGTTCATGTAAACATATGCTACAGGGTCTTGATACTAGGTTCATGTAAACATATGCTAAAGGGTCTTGATACTAGGTTCATGTAAACATATGCTACAGGGTCTTGATACTAGGTTCATGTAAACATATGCTACAGGGTCTTGATACTAGGTTCATGTAAACATATGCTACAGGGTCTTGATACTAGGTTCATGTAAACATATGCTACAGGGTCTTGATACTAGGTTCATGTAAACATATGCTACAGGGTCTTGATACTAGGTTCATGTAAACATATGCTACAGGGTCTTGATACTAGGTTCATGTAAACATATGCTAAAGGGTCTTGATACTAGGTTCATGTAAACATATGCTAAAGGGTCTTGATACTTGGTTCATGTAAACATATGCTACAGGGTCTTGATACTAAGTTCATGTAAACATATGCTACAGGGTCTTGATACTAGGTTCATGTAAACATATGCTACAGGGTCTTGATACTAAGTTCATGTAAACATATGCTACAGGGTCTTGATACTAGGTTCATGTAAACTAAGCTACATGGAAATATCCTGTGAAGATTATTTAATTGAAGTTGTCTATTTGTTTTCGATTACCAAACCGCTAATATTTTCAAATATATACAAATCAATATCTACACTGATTTGGCTGACTAAATACGAATACCAATACTTTGCTTTTACCGGTACGTCAAATATAGCTACTCCATTATTTTTGGAGCGTCATCAACATCATCTTGATAAGATAATTTTCTTTAAAATAATATTCTGTCCAACTGCCCGTAGTACAGCGTCTCTATACATCCTGTATTTATGATTACTGATGACAATATTATATCTGTGAAGCAGGTATTCCTTGGTATGGAAGTGACCGGCACTGTCAACTAATTGTCTGATTAAAGTAATTATTTGTCAAAAACACTCTTTTTTTAACAATTATCTTCTTCTTATTCCATATGATATTAATATAAAGATTTTTTTCTTTCATATTGACACTGTTCCATGTATGCAAGATGTCGGTATAGAAATTGTGAATTTTTATAGGAAGATTTGATAGTTACAATGTAGCAGGAACGGGAGAGAGCCGACGGCATCAAACTTTTGCTTAATAAGGAAATTCCAAAAGCTGCCATTTCTTAAATATCTTGTCAGCCAAACTAATTTCAATGCTTTATTAAACAATTCAAAGTTAACTCTTCCATTATTACATTCTTGAATCAATTTTATTCTTGCTTTCTTTTTCTACTGTACTATTCCAAATAAACTTTAAAATCTTCCTATTGATTAATTGATTAAAAATTTCTTTTGGAAAACTTTCTTTTGCTTGATGTATAAGACAATAGATGCCTTTGGATTTACTTAAGAGATCCTGCCGTACAGGGTAAGATTTGTAGTTTGCTAGCGTGTAAACCGTTCCTGAATTATTTTAAGAGGATTATCAATATTTTCCTCCTTACAAAAAATGCTGTTTTTATGAAGCATTATCCAGAGATATTTATACCGACTGAACTTCTTGACACCATATGGAACATTGAACACAGATTCAGATACACGTAACAATTCATTCTTTTTCCAAGTTCAGTTTAAGACCAGCATGACAAGTTTGTGTTTAATAAAACGCAATTGCATGTCTCACTGAACGTATATCTTTTAGCAGCGGTGTCGAGCCAATCCCCATATTAACCTTATTACCAGATTTAAGTCCCTTGATTCCCCTTAACTTCCTGAATTATTCGCTGATTACTTCTATACATAAAATAAAGATATGGGGACTGAACGGGCAGCCTTGTCGGGCTCCTCTATAATTTGGAAAACCTTTTGTTCTTTTGTACCTTTATAATACACACGAGTTTGAGTTTTGATAACACAGAAAACCCAAGTTTATATACCTATCTGGAAATCATAAGAGAATGTGTGATGAACTGATATTCTATGGAATCGAAAGCTTTTTCAAAGTCTAGAAAAACATGTAGCCTTCGTCTTCATAGGTGGCAATCACATCAGACACTAATCTGATATTGTCATGTATAACCCGTCCGTCTTCATAGGTGGCAATCAGATCAGACACTAATCTGATATTGTCATGTATAACCCGTCCGTCTTCATAGGTGGCAATCAGATCAGACACTAATCTGATATTGTCCGTCTTCATCAAGGCAGACTGAGACTCGTCTATCAAATTTGGAAGAATAGCTTTTTGCGAATATTTTATAATCCAGATTCCTACGTCACGATTTGGCTGAAATATTGCCGACGTTAAATATTAACTCGCTCATTATAATCCAGATTCAAAAGCTGTGAACAACTCTCTTTCATCTATGTCTATACTTAGCTTGTATATGTCGGACTGCTGAATGGTAGGAAGTTCTTGATAAAGTTATTGATAAAGAATTTTATAAAAAAGGTTACATGAAGTTCTTGATAAAGAATTTTATAAAAAAGGTTAGAGAAACGTCAGTTTCAGACTGCTGTAATTTTGAAATCACTTTCTTACATTGTCTCCGTGGATTTCACTCAACTCGCCCTTGCCCTGATGAATTCACCCCCAGCTTTGTAGTGTATACAAGTTCTAACTCCTTTTTACATTCCTCGTATGCAATGAAACATCAGCGTTTTTATCAGTCTGCAAACGATGATCAAGCATAGCTTTATCAGTTCGGATACTTGCAGTAACACTGCAGTCTTCTGTATCTTTCATCACCTGGTGAAACTAACCAAAAGTCTGTTCGGGAGTGGGTCTGATTGTCTTGTTTCCATGATTAGGATCTTTTCTCTAATAATTGCATATATCTGTTATATCAAATTGTTCAATATTATCATGTAAAACCAGGCTGCTTCGATTCGACCTGCTTTACCTTTCACTGGGTGGGAACAGAACAGTGTTAAAGTCTTCTTTAAAACTGGTTTAATAATCTGCTTAATAAACACA